TTTTTTTGCGGTACACGGGCCTCTCACTGTTGTGGCCTCTCCCATTGCGGAGCACAGGCTCCGGATGCGCAGGCTCAGCAGCCATGGCTCACGGGCCCAGCCGCTCCATGGCATGTGGGATCCTCCTGGACCGGGGCACGAACCTGTGTCCCCTGCATCGGCAGGCGGACTCTCAACCACTGCGCCACCAGCGAAGCCCTTAGCCTTGCCCTCTTTTGATCTCTGTATCAAACATTTGGATAGATGGGTGGGTGGGATAAGATACATGGATGTTATTTATACACACACAGGTCTGTTACTCAGAACACGGGGATGTCCTGCGTCCATGTGTGTGTAAAACTCTCATTCAGGTGCAAAACAATCCAAAATGTTAACCGAAAATAAAATACGGAAGAGAAATAGGCCTTGTGATCTGAGGCTGGTGGCAGGAAGGCCATCCGGGATGGCCTGTGATCCTCGGAACAGGGCTCCCTTCCTCCCTGAATGACTCAGTGGTTTATCAGGCCAGGTTCAGGGTGACCCCGTGAACAAGGCTACGGATAGGCTCTGAGGATAAGCTCCCGTTTATCTTCAGATGCGTCATGTTTTCAAAGCTGAGATGGATGACTTGCTTTGTAGTAAAATATTTCTTCATTTCGTCGTACTTTTTTATCCCATGGTTTTGTGCCATGTTAGAAAACTTCTCACTCTGTCCCTGGTGTTTGAATCTAAACATCTCAGCTAGTTTGAAAAAGGGACAGAGGAAAACAGACCAGACCCAGGTGGTTTGCGCTTTGATGGTTTGCAGTGCCCCCGCCCCCAGCCGATGGCTGGTCCACAAGGCGGGAGTGGGGCAGTGGGCGTCCATTAGACTCGGGCCAGAGCGCTTAGCTCATAAAGCCGCAAGTCTGCAGCCTCCCCCGTGAGAAGAGGCTGTGCTGTTTTCCGGAAGGAAAACCCTCAGTTCTCCAGTCTTACCCAAAGTAGGGGCCAGGCTCTCCCCCTGCCCCCGGGCCTGTGCTCGTTGCCCACCTCTGTTCCCTTCCCCCGGCGCGTGCACAGAGGAAGAGAACCACCTGGGCTGGTTCTACGTGGAGGACGACGGGAATCAGATCAGGAAGGAGAGGCACCCCCTCCTCGTGGGACACATGCCCGTGACGGTGGCCAAGCAGCAGGAGTTCAAGGTGACGGGCGGCGGGCGGTTACCAGGAAGGGGCGCCAGGGCAGCCTTGGGCGTGGCCCCTCCAGGGCCCGTTTGTGTAGGAGTCATTTAGGAGGGTGGTGGTCTGAAGCCAGAGGCTGCTTATCCGGAGCCGGTGCTGGGCCTTCCTCCGAGGCCCCGCGATCAGGCCCCGCGGCTCAGGTCCGGCAGCTCCGTGCCCCTCGCTGGGCGGCTCGGCTTCCACGTGGTCATAATTGGAGACCTTCCGGTGGCCCGAAGCGTGGTGCCCACTCTTGGCTGAAGCAGACCCCGTCTGCGGGTGGCGTTTTGTCAGTGTCCCTGTGCGGTGGACTCAAGCACTGCGGCTGGTGTCCACACAGACTGCAGAGACATGTGGGTGTGTCCTTCTCTAAGAAACGCATTTTTCTTTCTCACCTTGGTCTCTGGCCGACACTCAGTCCTGGAACCTGGGCTTCCCTGGAGCTCCTTCAGCTGATGGGGACCATTCCCGCTGGCAGAGCCTGCTCCCCGGGAGAGGCAAGGGCCCTGTCGGTGTGGCCTTAACCCAGAGCTGCAGCTGCCCTGGGCACACTTAGGTGTTGCTTCTAAAAAGCAAATTTCTGAAACTCATACATCGATCTTTCCCTCTCTTAGCCTTTGGAGTTGCCGTGGTTTATGTCAGAACGCTGTCATCCGTGTAAGACGTGCCCTCTGGCCTCCTCTGAGTCCCATTTGAAATTCGGGCCTTTGATTTTTTTCTCCCCTTTAGATCGAATGTGCCGTTTATAATCCTGAGCCTTACCTAAATCATGAGAATCAGCCAGACTCATTTTCCACAGCTCATGGTTTCCTGTGGGTAAGATGCTTTTGTTTGTTTGTTTTTGCGGTACGCGGGCCTCTCACTGCTGTGGCCTCTCCCGTTAGGGAGCACAGGCTCCGGATGCGCAGGCTCAGCGGCCATGGCTCACGGGCCCAGCCGCTCCGCGGCATGTGGGATCCTCCCGGACCGGGGCACGAACCCGCGTCCCCTGCATCGGCAGGCGGACTCCCAACCACTGCGCCACCAGTGAAGCCCTTTTTGTTTGTTTTTAATGCAAGTTCACGAAGAATCCGTATCCACAGCTAATGAGATGAGAAATGACAGATTTGAGTGGTCCGATAGCTCGTTGTGGCTGGTGTGTCCCAAATTGTGTCTATAAACGTGGGGGTCACCAATAGGAAAGGGGGCTGTGATCACTTTTGGAAAAGGTGTCGAGTTCTAAGGCATTAAAACATTTCTCTCTTTTCTTTTTCCTGTAAAATTTAACCAGGTTAAATTCAGTCCAAAATCCATGAACTAATAGAAGCATTGAAATATTTTTTCAGTTTGGGCGGTTAACTGGCATATGGAGTTTTTTCTCCTCCAAGACCATGCTGGCCGTTCACGCTGGGAACTTAGCAGTTAAAATTAGTTTCTTCCAAATGAAGTGCTGCCTTTGAACGGTCCTGTGTTTGCAGTAGACGTTGCTGGCTCGTGCAAACCAGAGGAATTGCTCGTGTGGTGCGTTTTCAGGTCTCCTGGTGCCCCCCTTGTGGGGAGCCGCCAGACCTCCTCCACGATGGGTCCTCTGTCCTTTTCCAGCCCCACCTGGCTCTCTCCCGGGTGTCCTGACCCCGCGAAACTCCCCACATACCCTGCCCCGTCTCACAGCCAGAGCGCTGGCCTGCTTGGAGTCCCTGGTTGAGTTTTGGAAAGAAAACAGCCTGATGAGCTGATAGCTCTCTGCACTCAGCCCAGAACGAAGGGATGGGCTGAATTCCCTCAGGGTTTTTGAATTTTAGAGGAGGTTTTTTCCATTTCAGGACCTGCACCTGGTCAGAGCCCCCCCCGCCC